TCTCATATCTACGCACAAACGTAATTCGCCATTTTCTTTCATGATTGGGACATTGGTGAAACCCATTTAGACGGGCCTTGCACTTCTTCAATTATATCACTGTTTAGTGATTCTTTAATTTTGATTGCAACCTTCTCTTTAATGGGGATCGGTACTCTCCACTTGATTTATCCCGATACCAAGTTTTAAGACACCTAGACGGACTGCTGTGTTCTTACCCAACAAGTCTCTAGTACCCCCCGAAATCACGTAAATGGTTGCATGTTCTTTTCGTCCATCGACTTCGAGTATAGTTTCAAATGAACCCTCTATTGCCAAAGGAGAGTTACTACCATATGCTAATAATGTCTTGTCTGGTCTTTACATTTGATTAAAAGCATATATTTTTTTGCTTTTTACTCTTCCCACGTTTTGTAAGATATAAGGTTCTTGCGCAATTTCGAATTACACTTTTCCGCAATTAGAGATGATCATCTTGCTTTTCGAATGCACACTTTTCGGCCTGTTGACGCAATCTTATCAAAAACTTCTCAAATTTTTCTCCTTTTTCCTGTTTTAGCAATCGAAAAACATGCCGCTCATAAACTTTGCTCCGTTTAGGTGGAAAATACTCGTCGAGTTTTTTTATGGCTACTTTAAATACCTCAACGGTTTCTGATGATTCGAAATTGGCACCCAGTAAATTGTAGAATATTTCTTGTATCCTAGAGCCACCAAAATGCAATAGCGTAGCTCGTTTCTTGAGCTGAAGTTATATCGGCAGATATAACTTCAGTTGCGTCCAGATAGATTAGTAGAGACTTTTTCCATTTTTCACACCTTATAGCCATAGATGTGCTATCACATTAAAGCTCATAACGGTATCATTATTATTATTATTTTAGGGGCAAACTAAAACAGTTTCTTATATTTTTATTTCCAATTTAATGCTGGTATTTTAATACCCAAAGTCCAATTTAATGGTAGTAATTTAGCACCCAAAGTACAATTTAATGGTAGTAACTTAGTACCCAAAGTCCAATTTAATGGTAGTAACTTAGTACCCAAAGTCCAATTTAATGGTGGTATCTTAGTACCCAAACTACAATTTAATGGTGGTATCTTAGTACCCAAACTCCAATTTAATGGTGGTATCTTAGTACCCAAACTCAATTTAATGATGGTATCTTAGTACCCAAACACCAATTTAATGATTGGTATCTTGGTATTCCATTGCTGTGCCATTTAGGCTTTGGGTAAATTCAATGCCTATAATGCGAATTTACAGTATTGCTAGTTACCTACTATGCAATTTATAGAAGTCGTGAAGTGCCCACGATTTTCTGTCAGACTTATATATGCTGTGAAAGCGGTAAAATAGTATTTTCATTACGGGTGATAAAATACCACTCCTACATGTAAAATGCCACTAAAATTTAGCTAACGACATTGTATTTCGGTGTGAATCTAGAGGAGTGATTAGTTATATCTACTATTTTTCCATCAAAAATCTTTTAAATAAAAGTTGTGCTAATAGAAATATGTTAAAATATATATTTTTTTATCATTGCTACATAAAGAAAATAAATTGTTGCACACCATAGCGTGGTCATATGCGAACACATAATTTATATAAATTATTAAAATGATCAGAACAGGGTTAAAAACAATAAATCATAATTCCACAGTTTTTTTTCGGCGGGTACCCAAGGAATTAATTTACAATTGCAATGCTAATAGTTGCACATTGCTAACCTATTTTTGATTATATCTTTATACCAAATAGGTACTTATCTTTTTTCTCGTCGCCACTTGTATTGTCTGCTATCTTCTCTTATCTGTGTAGTGTAGCATAGGCTCGGCACGCACTTAACTGAAACACGTCCACTCTCGCCCGAGGCTCTCGTGTAACTGACGCGATGCGCTCGAGACAGTGACTTATATATAAATGTATGTTTGTGTATTTGTGCATGGTAAATGGTGGTCAGGCCTAGTGTTGAATGCAGCTAAAACTAAGATGCTACACATAAGATCTCCTTATATTAGAGAGAAAAGTACATCGTACAATCTTATAGCTCATGATCACAGTTGCCTTCATAATTCGAATTACATTCACTGTAGGTGTCCACCAATTAAAATAGTAGATTCTCACGTGTACCTTGGATTAGTAATTGATAGTGCATTTAACTGGGCCCCCCAAGTTGAGCGAGTATGTGACAAATTACGAGCGTTCCTCGCAAACTTAAGAATCATAAAAAAACAAATGACTTTTAGGCCACGATTAGCTTTATATAACGCGTTTGCTAACTCTATAGTCAACTATGGCCTATCCAGTTATGGGCGAACTTTCAAGTCATATCTGGATAGGATATATAATCTACAAATAAGAATATTAAAACAAGTGGCTCACCTAACGAAAAAAACAATTTTCATCAAATGAAATAAAATTATTTAAATATTGCAACGTACTACCCGTACACGACCAGTTCATACTCCAATTTCTGAAGGAAGATTTTTTTAATAATTCCATTAAAATAAAAGTGGAACATAATAAGGGTACTCGGGCGATCACTCGCGGCAAGTTAGTTACGACAGCCGCGCGGAACACTTACGGCAGACGCACTGCTGTATACTTGATTCCTAGAATCATAAATAAATTGGATCCTGAGTTTAGGAATTCTATTAATGAAAAAAATTTAAAAAACAAACTAAAGATCTTTCTAGTGAGTTCTTTGGACAGCAAAGATCGAATAGTTACATGAATAAGTATAGTAACTTTGTTTCTTCTTTTTTTTTTTTAAAGCATAGCGAACGTAAGCACAGCAATTAAACCTCACAAATAAAACCCTTGCGCTGTGTTCAATATGTATTAATAATTGTACATTTTATGGGTAATAAATGAAAAAAATAAAATTATTAGTAAATAAAACAAATAACAATATTTACTGTTTACTATATATATGCAAACACTACAACATAATTTTATAATGTCTTTAAGAAGTACTGCGCCGGCGTCACCGGCAAAAGCGCTTACAAGATCTTTAAGATGTTGAGGCGTAATTCCGTCAATGCCGCCAGCAGAGCCATTCGAAAATGACATAATTGCTTCTAAAGTGTCTTTTTCAGAAATTTGTAAAGGTTGCATATGGTTGCATAGAATTCTTGGGAGGCAGCGGTAAGCCCTGAGAAGGTTTGACCGAAGGATGCTTCTGACGAAGGCTTTCAAGAGTTTTATATTTAAGTAAATATTCAATATTAAAAACAAAAACCGGGCTTTCAGTTTTATAATAGGTATAATCCTACACAAATAAAATTTTGCTCTATTTGTAGTAATTGATGGGAAGAAATATGAATCTGTATATTTGAAACAAAGTATTTGTAATCATTACGTTTTAAATTTACCGCTTTATTTATTAAAAAGAAAAATGTGTCTTTAAAGTTGTCAAATTTGAGCTTCAGCTTTAGTGTCATGTCATCAATATTTTCATATTTTTATATCAAACATTTTTGTTTTATAGCTTAAATTAATTAAATTACCAATGCAATAGGATTTTAATGATATTAAAACTGCAGTAGTGATATTAAAAGTACACCATATAGACTACTCCCACACTTTAATAATGTTATCTACATCAAAAATTTTAAGGTTAGCATTAAGATACATCATCTACTATTTTATTTACAATCATTCATTCATTTTACCTTAGTAGAGCCACGCTGCAGCTACATTATGGATGTAATACGAATGGGTCAGTTACACCGGGGAAGGATCATGCTTTCACAGAATACCAGAGTATAAGCAGTACAGCATGGTACTGCTTTGTTTTGGATGCTGAGTAACAAGAATCGGCAACCCTTCTTACTAGTAACGAGACATTCTATCTTAGTTTTATTAGGTAACAACAGATTTTGATTTTTAGTCGAGAATAGGTGTGTCTATGAGCCATAGCATTCACTTACCGTCAGATGTTATAAAAATTCATGTGTACCTATAGCCAATAATATATTCTATACATTCACTTGGAATATAACACTCACAGAACTAGAATAATTGCTTTTAAAATTGTATTTTGTTTTTTTACTCATTATAAGCCAGTGTTTGACTACTGTCCTACATGGTGGTAAATGGTGATGAAGCGCTAGATGATAAATCATTCCGTCTTAGCGTGACGAAAGTACTAGACATTGTAATAACCACTGTATACATTGTATATAGTATATTGTATATTATACTGTTAGTGACTCTAGTTAACAAGTTACAAGTTAACATTAATGCCCTCTAGATCGTATTTTATTCATAATGGCTAGTCTCAATGGAGATCTTACCAGTACAGAATTACGATGCACAAGTGTTTGCGCTAGTACATGTGCATTTCCTATTTTTTCTCTCATAGGCCAATGGGACAGCAATCTGATACAGCCGGAGAGCTGGAGAGAGATCAGGCGAAAAACGCCAATATCCTCACAAATAACTCCAGAGTGCTAAGTACTGAAAATTTCTTGACAAAAAACCCTTTGATTAATTTTGGCCCGACCCTGGAATCGAACCTATATGACCTATAACCACATGACCAGCATTTGTGCTAACGACTACTAGAGCAACGTGCAAGGGAATCAGAGACGAAACGAATTTGGTGCGGTGCGAAAGCGTAGTGGCAGCGCGGTTATTCGTTGCGTTTACATAGATCGTGTGTACCTATAGCACTCAACGCGTCAAAATCACACCGGTGCGACATATACCGGCCACATCCGTGTGACTTAACTCTTAGTGGAAACGATGAAACAAGTATTTCGGTAAATTTCAAGTTTTGTATCCGTTTAGGTGCCTTGATGCTATCGTCATCGACTATCCACTGGATTAAGCTGTCATTAAATCTCCCATAAAATTAAGCATATTGTAAAGAATTTTAAAAACAAAATATAAGGCTGCATGGCCTATAAGACCTTTGCTTGTAGTAATTAATTGGCGAATCAAAAGGTCCATGCCTTTGACGTTTTGGATTTTTGATTTTTGTCACTTTGACGTATATTTGACGTATAATTTACTGAGGCTGTGGTATTATAATATTATTTACTTACGATATTTACGCAATTTGAGGAGTGAGTAAAAATAATTGCAGTATATTACACTACAGAATAGGAACGGTTATTTAAGTACACATAAATTTATAGATCTGTGAGTATTGCCCTCATACGCAGTGTTATTTACATTTTTGAAAAAGTTAAACGATTGTTAATGTGTTTTCTTTTTTGTTTATTTTATTTATTACGTTTATATTAATGATATTTATGACTACCTTTGAGTCAACATAAACAAGAGCGATATAACGCAAATAATACTGTCTTTGGGCTAGTCAGAAACTAAATCACTGAAAGAAAACTGGTATGATGTTTCAAACGTATGAATGACATCAGTTCTTAGTCATGTATGACGGTTACACAGATTGAACGCTGGTAGAAATCTTAAAAAGTTATGTGAGTGTTTTTTCAATAAACATTAAAACTTGCCAGTTTAACTCTATATAAAATAATGGACGTAATCTATTTACTGCAGTAACATATTGTTGATAAATTTTATCTTATCATGATAGGATATAATATCTATAATTTACTATCAATATTTGCTCTAAATTAGCACTTAAATTATTATTTTAATACCATTGCGCTTTTATTACAATTTTTAAATAATAAAATAATGTAGAAATAAGATTGCAAAGATGTATAATGGCTAACAATGTCTAACATAATTTAACGTTCCCTACACAAACACCAAATTACAATTTAATAAGAACCAAACAAGGAAAACTACTTATATAAATAAACTGTAATTAATCCTTATTTTGTGTGACTTTCCTCTCACACATCATCATTAATTGGAATTATTTTTTAATAATTATAAATTAATTATTTAACAATAGTGGACTATCTTTAAACTGGACACTTGAAGGGGTTTCTGTCATTCTGTTCAAAAAAATGCTACTATGCTACTTAATCTCAAGATCAACCTCACACTCCACAATGTCAAAACTTGAGTCTTGACCTATGTGACAAATTTTTACATTGTTAAATTTGAGCTTAAACTTATCTTGAAATTATCCTTAAATACCGGCCTAAGAGAAATAAAGATGACTGGGTTTCTGGCAAGTATCATCAACAGCCATCAGATAGTTAAGCCTAATTTTACATAAGATTTTCAGTACAATTACAGTATATTTCTCTGGAAATCTTAAGTAAAATTATTTTGCATAAAAAATGTATGTAATTAGATATTGTCATGAAATTTTGTTCCTCCTGATCCTCAGATCCTGGAGCTGGATGAAGAGATAGACAAGTTGCGCTAGGATGTTATAGGATTATCTGAGGTCCGAAAAGAGGGGGAAGTGACAGTAATCCTGGAATCCGGTAACTTGTTCTATCACCGGGAAGATGATCATTTGTCCTAAGGAGGTGTGGGATTTATTGTACACAAGTCTCTCGTTAACAATGTTGTAAAGATTGTGAGTGTGTCGACAAGGGTTGCCTTACCTATACCTTATACTAAGAATCACCAAATGGTATTCGTTAAAGGTCATACAGGTTTACGCACCTACCTCGGCACATCACGATGAGGAGGTGGAGAAAATGTATGAGGATATATCTAGAGCCATGCATTCCTCCAAAACCCACAATGGTGAGCTGAAAGTAGGGAAATTCAGAATAGAGCAATGGAATCCAAGGCGACAGCAGCTGGCCGACTTCATGGAGAAAATGGGACTCTTTTTTCCAGAAGCGCCCACACAGGAAGTGGACCTGGTCAAGCCCTGACGACAATAAATAGGATTGACTTCATTATGACGACTAGATGGCAACTGTTCAGTGATGTCTCAGTGATTGTGAGGATGAAAACTCTTAGCGATCACCGAATGGTTTGAGGCACACTGAACCTAGACGTTAAGTTGAAGAGGTCTCGTCTAATGAAGTCAACACTCTATCTACTTCCTGCTCATACTTCAGTGCCTTGACAGCATACAGACAACTGAACAGATAGATTTCCAAATGCATGCGGTGGGACTCACGCAACTTCAATACAGCTCGTATTGAAGAAATGATCGGAGTGGAACCAAGGCTCCAAAGTTTGCCAGAGATCTGTCTGTCAGTAAGAGCTAACTGTGAAATCCAAGAAAACCAAGTGTGGAAACATCGTATCAGGGGCACCTGAGATTTTGAGTGAGATTCATAGGTTATATAGGCAGCTGCATATGTCATTGTTGAAGCTACACGCATGTGAGTAACGATACAAGAGCAAGTCTAATCCGACACTATTCCGATGATATTCCGGATGCCAGTCTGAGCGAGATTAGAGTGGTTCTTACACCTTAAAAACGGCAAGGCCCCAGGTGAGGATGGAATTACAGCAGAATCCTTAAGAAGCTTTCTTTTTCCTCAGCATTCTGTCCTTCATGTTGGGGCTACTCTGGAGGCGTTGAGCAGAATTGCGGTGGTCTTGCCCTTTAAGAAAGGCGACAACGCTCTCTTGAAGAATTACAGACCGATTTCCCTTCTGAGCCGCGTTTACGTGGTGTTTTCGAGTCATTACAAATCGTCTCGCATCCAGACTCGATGACTTCCAGCCTCCCAAACAAGCTGCTTTAGCACCATAGATCACACTCCCTTCGGAAAATTGCACCGAAGACCATGGAGTTCAATTTGCCACTATGTCTTGTATGTATGAGAAAGCCTTTGATTCCGTCGAAATTTGGGCGGTGGTGTAGTCCCTTCAGCAGCGCCAAGTTGACTGTCGGTATATCGAAGTGCTGAAGTGTTTGCAGTAGGGCTACGATGGCTGTCTGAGTACAGAACCAGAGTACAAAACCTATTCAACTGCAAAGAGGGGTAAGACAGGGTGATGTTATATTCCCGAAACTTTTTACTGCTGCATTAGAAGACGTTTTCAACCTACTGGACTGCAAATTATACAGTATTAACATCAATGGCGAGTACATCATTCACCTCCGATTTGCCGACGATATAGTCCTTATGACAGAATCGCTGGAAGACCTAAGTACTATGCTCAATGACCTCAATAGTGTTTCCCAATGGATAGGTCTTAAGATGAACATGGACCAAACAAAGATCATGTTTAATGTCCATGTCACACCTATGTCGGTAGTTGTTGGTAGCACTAAGCTCGAAGTTGTTAACGAGTATGTTTACCTGGGACAAATAGTCCGACTAGGTAAGTCCAACTTCGACCGAGAGGTTAATCGACGGATTCAATTCGGTTGGGCAGCGTTCAGGAAACTACGACACATCTTCTCATCAGGTATACCTCAAAACCTGAAAACGAGTTTGTACAACCAGTGCATGTTGCCAGTGATGACTTATGGATCTGAGACGTGGTCCTTCATTGGTGGCCGTATAAGGACGCTCAAGGTAGCTTAGCGGGCTATGAAGGGGGCTATGCTCGGGGTATCTTTGCATGATAAACTTAGGAATGAGGATATCCATAGTAGAACCAGAGTGACCAACATAGCCCAACGGATTAGTAAGCTGAAGTGGCAATGGGCCGGGGAAAAGAGGTTCTCGATTGGCAGCCTCGTATTGGTAAGCGAAGTGTAGGGTGTCCCCCCACTAGATGGAGTGTCGACCTGGTAAGACATGCAGGAAGTCGATGGATGCAGGTGGCTCAGGACCGTGCTTTGGGGCATTCCTTGGGGAAGGCCTATATTCAGCAGTGGACTTGTGAAATTTTTGAAATTTTGTGTTTGGTAACCTACTAAATAAATTTTGTAAAATTAATAATAAAGGTTAAAAATTAATAAATAATAAAGTTAAAAATAATAATAAAGGGATGAATATTAATAATAAGGTAAATATTGAAAAAAAAACAGACAGACACAGACGGACAGCTCTCAAATCTTGAAACATTATTGGAATACATGTCTCAAATATTTTACGGATTGCTTTAAGTTACAACTAGCTTTAGGTTATATACTTTTCACAGAGTAATGGGGCAAACCCTATCTGAGCCGGTGACGGAAAAGCAGTCATCAACATGTCAGGATTCAAGATACCTTGTAGGATCATCATGCATGCAGGGATGGCGTGTTTCTATGGATGACTCTCATACTCACATATTGTCATTACCTGACGACCCTGGTACTGCTTTCTTTGGTGTTTATGATGGACACGGAGGTGTGTGATCAGTAATCAATAGTTATTTCTTAATTATTTGTCTACTAAATTAATCTTTGTCACGAGCACACAGTCCACCTGATGGTAAGTGGATGCTGTGGCCCATATACGTCTACATTTATCCTCAATTAACAATCAATATGCAGATGTGATGTCACCCATAAGGACTAAGATGGAATGGATGCCTTGTTTCCAGTAAAAACGTTCATTGTTTCTCTACACTCACCATATGAAACAAAGCTTCATTAAGCTACTATTTTTCGCTTGTATTCTGTCAGTGCTCCTTCATTCATGCTACAACCATAATATAGTTGCAGCTTGGCTCTACCATGTAAAAACTTGACTTGTATAAGCAATAGTATAAGCCATGGTGGAAAAGATTCAAGAGTACTAGGGTTTAAAGTTATTACATGCAAAAATGTTGTTTTTAAGTATTGTCATTCCAATTTACTCTTAGTTAGGTTGACAGGTACATTAAAAATAGTTTTTGTAGTTAATCTGTGGTGTCCCAGTCCATCCATTCGGATTAGTATGTGTCATATTTGTGGACCTCTTAGAACAATTCTTTTTAAAATGTTATTTATAACGAAAGTTCTGTAATATTTATTAGAATTAGTCTCGTTACTAAATTATTAGAATTAAGAAATACGAGAAATAAATTAAGAGAATTTACTTCAAATAACAACCTTCCGCCATTACACTATTTTACTATTAGAACTACGTCGGCTTCGCATGTCGATATAGTACACGACACACCATGTAGATGGAACTGTTACAGAATTATTCCATTTCTGAGATTTGTTTTACCAGATTTCTAACTTAAAGTTGCCAAGTTATTTTGAAAACCTGTAAAAAGGGGGTAATCGCCTATTGATTTTGTATCTATCTATTGACTTTAAAATACTATATTGTTTTTCTCCTAATGAAATAGTTTTGTAACCGCGCCATCTACACGGTGTGTCAAGTACTACATAGACCTGCGAATCCGACGTAGTTTTTTCATTGGCAACCTATGCAGCATTAAAAATTTTACCAAAAAAATTGTAGTCTGACAGAGTTAGTCCAATACAATGTCGGGATCTGAGAGGTTAACTAGCTTTTACTCATGACAAGCTAAAATGTTTTGTTTTTGTAATTTATTTTATATCTCTTAAACCATTGATTTTTATCAGTTTATTGTTTTACAAAAATCCTCCATTTATCGGATAAAATATTGCCTAGATCTCACTCTTAGTACTGCTCTCTGTTTGTTTATAAATTTTTATCACAATCGGTTCAGCCATTCTGTAAGCCATAGTTTATCTTTCAACCGACTTTAAAAAAGGATGAGGGAGGTTCTCAATTCGATTGTATTTTTTTATGTACGTTACCTCAGAACTCTTTTCTAGCTTAACCGGTTTTGATGATTCTTTTTTTATTTGTAAGCTGGTGCTTCTAATGTGGTCCCATATAAATATGATCAAGATCTGACCAGTAGTTTTTAAGTTGTCCATAATAATGCGTATTTAATTGACATCAACTACATTGACGATGTTCTCATTTTATTTTCTACTAACTCCAAAAAGGAGACGGTACTCAATTCAACTGTATGTTTTTTTGTGTGTTACCTCATAACTTTTTTCTGTGTGAACCGATTTCCATGATTCTTTTTTTTTAAAGCTGGTGCTTCTCATGTGGTCCCATATAAATTTGATCAAGGTCTGACCAATAGATTTCCAGTTTGAAGATTTTTTTTTATAGAAGAGGGGGCAAACGAGCATGCGGCTCACCTGATGGTAAGTGACTACCGCCACCCATGAACAACCGCAACACCAGGGGAATTGCAGATGCGTTGCCGGCCTTTTAGAAAGGTGTAAGCTCTTTTCTTGAAGGTTCCTAAGTCGTATCGGTCCGGAAAATTCGCTGGTGGTAATTGATTCCACAAGGAAGTTGTGCGAGGGAGAAAACTTCTTCTAAATCGCACAGTGGTGGACCGCCAATCATACAGATGGTATGGATGGTAACGCGAGTTTTGTCGCGATGTGCGATGGTGAAATTGAGCGGCTGGAATTAGTCCGAACAATTCCTCAGAGCACTCCCCGTGATAGATGCGATAAAATACGCAAAGAGATGCAACATCTCTACGCAGTGCCAGTGTATCGAGCCGATCAGAAAGAACTCGGTCGTCGACGATTCGAACCGCTCTGCGCTGGATGCGGTCAAGTGGAAGGAGCTGGCACTGGGGTGCCCCGGCCCAGAGATGAGAACAGTATTCCATGTGGGGCCGAACTTGCGCTTTGTAAAGTTGCAAGCGATGTGCCGGCATGAAATACTGTCTCGCTCTGCTGAGCACGCCAAGCTTTTTAGAGGCCAATTTGGCCTTCCCTTCCAAGAGACCACGAAACTGCACACTATTCGATATGTCGACGCCAAGGATTCCGATACTAGCTGAGGCAGCAAGGGGAGTGCCTTGAAACTGAGGAGATACGACAAAGGGGTTCTTTTTAGCGGTAAACGCGCAAACTTGTGTCTTCTGGGGATTGAACTGGACTAGATTTAGTCGGCCCCATTCCGAGACTTTGTTAAGCAAAGACTCGACTTCAGACACAAGTTTGTTCCGGTACTCAGCGACGTTTTCCCGAGAAATATTGGCACGGCCGGTATATAAGGCATCACCAGTGCTGTCGTCTGCATAGCAATGAATGCTACTAGTTAGCAACATATCATTGATATGCAGGAGAAACAGCGTTGGTGATAGCACGCAGCCTTGTGGAACACCAGCGTTGATAGGCTTGAAATCAGAGCATGCACCGTCTACTACGAACTTGATGCTCCGATCAGCAAGGAAACTGGTGATCCACTTGCACAATTTCTCGGGAAGCCCATAGGAAGGAAGCTTCGAAAGAAGCGCTTTGTGCCAGACCCGATCGAAGGCCTTCGCTATGTCCAAACTAACGGCCAAAGCCTACCCCTTGGACTCTACTGCCTCCGCCCATCTATGAGTCAGATAGACTAGAAGATCACCAGATTGAAATTGGTTGTACAAAATTAATTTTAAATTATATATTTTAATTTTACCTTTTATTAAAATGGTTCATTATGTCTTAATAGCATGCAAATAACCCCTAACTCAATAAAAGGTAGTTATTTCGAAATTACAGACGGACACTTCAATTTTATTTAATGTATTTAAAAAAAATGTATAGATATAGATTAACATTAGATCACTTAATCAGTGGATTACACACTTAGTTCCAGACATCAATCAATAATTTTACATGGGTGATCTGAAATTTATGGCTTGTACTCTAATATTTTTTTAAATTATCAATATATTTTTAGGGGCAAACATAGCAGAGTATGCAGGGAAACATCTACACAAGTTCATCACAAATCGACCGGAGTATCATCTGGGTAACATTGAAGAGGCACTAAAACAGGTATAATCGATCGAAATTAGATTACACATACACTTATACTGAACACTTAAAGATCGAAGGTCATATTGTATTTTAGAATATAGATGTTCTATAATAAAATGAAGTTCTAAAATTATATTATCAAACTATGTTTTTAAAAAAAAATATTTTTCCTAATGTGTGGTGATAGTGGTACCTTCGAACTTTCACTTTGTTATGTTTATTTGCCTCATTTATGAACATCTGAGATTTAATTTTCTGCCGACTTCCAAAATTTTTAATTTTAAATTATCTTAATTAATTTTATCAAAAGATAAAAAAAGTTTATAATAATCCACACTTCTGGACATGGCTTGGAGGGCTTTTTTATAGAAGGGTGGCGAACGAGCACACAGTTCATTTGATGTTTAGTGGATGCTGTGGCCTATAGACCTCCACATTTATTTTCGATTAAAAATTAAAATGCAGATGCGTTTTCACCCCCGTGGACAGAAGATGGAATGCCTCTTTTCCAGTAAAAAGGCTCTCCGGTTCTCTACACTCACCATACGAAACACACCAGTGTTATGCTGCTATTTTATGCTGGTATTCTGTGAGAGCGTGGTCCTCCCCCGGTCGAGCCGACCCATTTGTGCTACAACTAATATAGCTGCAGCGTGGCTCTACCACGTAAAAGGGCTGATTGACGATAGATTTAACAGACATCTCGCATACTTGACGCTGCTACCCGTCTCCGTTTTTAGTATTTTTAACCAATGAGGAAGAAAGTTTCTTGAACGGCAGCCTTATACCGGTAATCAGTTGGCCTTAAACTCTACTTAGATGGAGTAACCTAGTAAGATATGCAGGAAATCGATTGATGCAGATGGCTCAAGACGGTGTTTTACGGCATTACTTGCGAGACAGCAGTGCACTTGTGAGTAACCACTTGCAAGCATGGTGCTTCCATATTCCAGTCAACCTATTTGTACTCTGCCACAGAGATTTCTCCTGCACAGTTTAGAGCTTACTGCAGAACACGGAGGTTGTTGCAATGGCTATACATCAGTCAGGGAGTCCGGAAATGGAACTTGTATGATCTGTTACTTTTTATTAGTTTTTTGAATCTTAATTATCTATGAAAAATTTAGTTGCAGACATATTTTCACAGGGTTTCCTCGATCTCGACCAGGCGATGCTGGAGGAAGATATGCTGCAAGAGAAGGTGGCTGGTAGCACAGCTGTTGTGGTGCTCATCAAAGACAATGTCTTATACTGTGCTAATGTTGGTGATTCTCGTGCCATCGCCAGTGTTAAAGGAGCAGTAAGTAGCTCAACCGTTTTTGTATCTTTTTATTCGGAAACCCTCTTAGATGATTTTCGATAGTGGTGAGAACTTCTAAATAAATTGAAGTTATTCTATGCCTAATAGTAATCAATAGAGTAATAATGTCCTACAGACTGAATTTAGGTCTTGGGGGCCAGTCTCAACCGAGACTAGCCTTCACAATCACACACAGGCCAGAAATTCTTTCTCATACAGATGGCAGCGTGTAAGCAAGAACAGGTGCACTCCCTCATTCTCATAGTCCTATGGGACGGCAATAAAAATGGGAGATCAGGCATAAGATCAACGGCTTTATGTCCTTTCTGCCAATTTCCGGGCTCCACTCCACCTGGCTGGAACATTATTAAATATATATTTTTTTAATTTTTCCTTCACAGCCAAGCACGTGGTAAATCAGGATTGCAAGAAGTAATTTCATTGCTATCGGCAGCAGTCAAACTGGTCACATACTGTGAAGTTTACGGTGCTCCTTAGTCCCTGAACTCACGGTTCACATATTTATTCCTTTTTTTTTAAATATTACAGGTAGAAGCGTTATCATATGACCACAAGCCTAATAATGAGGAGGAGCTTCGAAGGATCACAGCAGGTGGAGGTTGGGTCCAGCTGAACCGGGTTAATGGAAACCTTGCCTTATCCAGGGCGTTAGGCGACTACGTGTTTAAGCGGAATTATAGGCTACCCCCACAAGAGCAGATTGTCACTGGTAAATAAAACAGTTTACTAAAAGTTCTTTCTGATGAAAATTGACACTAAAATAATAAACACCCCCATAGACTTTACCAGAGATCACAAAAACAGGGTATGTGTGTATGTCTCTAAACTTGTCTGGAATTCTTAAGTTAGTCGTCATAACAAATCTGTTGAGAACATAAGAACTAAACGAGTGATAGCAAACATACATAGTATAATATATAGTGTATGAAAGAAAAACATACATGAAAGTATACATCCCAAATATAATTTTATATACAAATTTGTTCTCTTCCACCCATAAACAGTCCAATTCTGGGACAGATTAATGTTCATCAGAACTACTATCTATAGCTTGAAGGGAGAGGGAGAGAGAGAAAGAGAGAGTTGAGAGAGAGGGAAAAGGAAACGAGAGAAGTCTCATGTCTATCATATTTTATTTTGTTTTAGCATTTCCCGATGTCCAAGTGAAGCAGATAAATGAAGATTGGGAATTCATCGTGATCGCGTGCGACGGTATTTGGGAAGTTTTATCCAACGAAGTAAGTTTTATACTTGGTAGAGCCATGGTACAGCTATATCAGTAGTACAGTTGTAGCACACCCATTCGTGAATTCGTCAATGCAATTTATTTAATACGCGGTAGAGCCATGCTGCAGCTATATTTATAGTATAGTTGTAGCACGAATGGGTCGGCTCGACCGGGGAAGGACCACGCTCTCATAGAATATCAGCGTAAAATAGCAGCTTAACGCTGCCGTGTTTCGTTTGGTGAGTGTAGAGAACCGGAGACCCTTTTTACTGGGAAAGAGGCATTTCATCTTAGTCCTCACGGGTGACAAAGCATCTGCATTTTGATTCGTAATCGAGGATAGTTGTAGATGTCTATGATTCACAGCAACCACTTCCAATCAGGTGGACTGTGTGGTCGTTTATCACCTTTATCCTATAATATTTCTTAAAATAAATAAAAATATAACAAATCTATGTTATGTGAGCAAATTGTCTTCGATTGCCTCCAATAACAATAGGAGTATGATGTAGTGCTAATATAATCCTAATAACGTATAATTATAAAACTGGCAACTTGAAACATAACTGGGCGAAAACCAAGATAAACTCCTAAGCTGGGAAGGACTTATCACAAATAAATACGCTCGGACACTAAAATAAGTACAATACCATTTATATATGCGCATTAAAAAAATCGGAGGCATATATTGGAGGCGGCATGAAAATGAATTAAAAATTTGGTTTTGGACCTATGAAATTAAAAGTCACTTGTCAAATTTCAACATGTTTTTAATGAACTACATTTTTTTCCGCGAGTGTGACGTAAAGGCGGTTATGGAGCCATAAGTCCGCCGCGATGCAGTAGTAAGTGTTGGCGGAATTGATATTTCCCAGAAATATTCTAGTGCTATGCTTGGGTTTGGATGTAATTTTATTAATTATAGGATCCCAAGCAGATGGCAGCACCCATTCATCTTCTCTATTGAAATTAGGATGTTTTTTTTAAATTTATATAATAATAAACCACTGCAAGACATCAAGATACTATAAGCTCATTCTGCGTAGATCGGACCAAAAATTAATATTCAAAAACTGAAGGTAGCTGGGCTAACTATGACATCGGGACTTCAAACACCTCAGTCCCCCCCGCACTCATGGTGCTGTAAAGCACCCGAAACGTCGGGAATTAAAAAGTTAAATTAAACGCGATAAAATCCGTAAAAATTAGTTTCATTTAAAGTTTCATACTTATACTTACTTATCTTCACGCACAATCCCTGACGGGGTAGCCAGAGAGAACAGATCGCCAAGTGTCACGATCCTTACATACCTCTTTCGCTTCTTTCAGATTCATTATCTTCTTCATACATGCACGTCTAGGTATCCGAGTACTCTTGACCCTACCCTCTTCGAGCAATTTGCTCACATGGTCTTCGAAAGTTAGTTTCGGTCTACCTCGACACCTTTTAATATTAACTTTCGCGCTATATATTTTCTTCACCATTCGGTCTTCACTCATTCGCTCAGCGTGCCCAAACCACCGAAGCACGCCCTTATCAATTTTTGTGATAAGGTCATCTTTCAAACCTGCCATATTGCGAATCTCTTCGTTTCGCTTTCGGTCGGCCATGGTAACGCCGCACATTTTACGAAGAGATCGCATCTCCACTGCATTCAACTTGCTTTTATGCTTCTTCTGGCATACCCAGGTTTCGCTGCCATATAACAAAGTCGGTACCAACACTGCGTTATGTATTGCAAGGCGTGCACTCTTCACTACGCCTTGCCTTTTGACTAACGCAGTCAGGGCACCATTGACTTTGTTCCCGGCAGCGACACGCCTGTCCACATCTAAATCACATCTTCCATCCCGGCTAAAAGCACTCCCCAAGTATACAATTTCATTTACTTGTTCTAGACATTCCTGATTTACCCATATTTCACACTTCGTTCTCTCTTCGTCCCTTTCAGTTTCATAATTTTTAATATTGATTATTTTAACAGTTAAAATTTATACTAACCATCTTTAAATGTATTTTAAAAAAAACTAGCTATAGTATTTTTTTAAGACAAAATAAAAGACCGTAGTTGAAACAAAGTTTTGATCTCGCGGTCTACACTGTATTCTATCTCATTCTCTCGCAGGCTAAATCCTATTGATGTGTATGTTTGTCTCTTTTTAGTGTCGCTTTTTCGTTTCGAGTTTCAAATCACAACGATTCTAAAGAAGATCTCACTTCAAAAATCATGTTTAATAAAATCTTATTTACGGTACGCTTTGTACTGTAGGAGGTGATTTCCTTCTGCCGTGCTCGACTGCTAAGTGGTTGGCAGCCGGCCGCAGTGTGCGAAGCCCTCATGCAGCGGTGCCTTGCACCGAACTGTGCCACGGGTGGCCTCGGCTGCGACAACATGACGGTCCTGCTTATTTGCCTTCTGCCGTTTCCCAGGGTGGATGCGATGGTAAGTCGTAACGTCTACACTACGCGTGCACGATGGGATTAGGATTGTCAGACTGACACTTCGCTCCGTATTGCGCGTTAACTTCAGTTTTGTGTAGGGTGTGCAAAAAAAATCAAACCTTTTATTACTATTTTTTTTTATATTATTTTTTATACTATTTTTTTATAGTAATATTATGTTATGGCTACATTTTTTTTAATAAAGCAAAACAATAATCTATAAGGCTTTTTTAATATGACCATCTTAAAACTAAAACTTTAAAACTTAATGCTTATAAAAAAAAACTTATATTTAATAAACTAGAACCTTCCCATAAGTTTATAGTACTCCAGTAAAAGAATTATAAAAAATATGTCATCTATTTTCTGAAAAGAAAAAGAGGACATTCTTTTTTTGAACTCGGTTAGGAATGGCGTTATACGATGTCATGAAGATTGATATGACGTTGTCAAACACAATCCTATTCTTATCCTGTGCGTATAAAAAATGTTTAAGCGAGTCACAGACTACGCAGATACGATAATATTTGATCTGCGTATAGAAACTTAATTATCTGAAAGTATCACACACTACGCAGATACAATAATATATGAAATTATACATTCACTCGAAATCCTTCAAACTTACTAGACCTGTTTTTCAGTGGTGTTATTTACAATGAGTTAGCATATATTGCTTCTAGATTTGCTAGACAGCTCGTCAGAAGAGGATTCTGATTTTGAAATTGATGCACGTGTTGTATTAATATTTATTGAAAGGCAAATAATTTGGATAGAACGTCATATAAAGTCTCAGCGTGACCATCCTGTATTTATCTGCAGTTAAAATCCAGTGCCATATTTGTATCTGCAGATATATTTGTATATGCAGATAATATTGTCACCAGCTTTCGATATCGATCGATGCCTGCAGACGTGTGTCTGTGTTATGATTATTTTGTTTATATTATTATGTATAACGATAAAATATAAAATATTTGCGCTGTGTGTGTTAGTTCATTGAGTTACATAGAGAACGATATTGAAAGATATGCGATCAGATACAGATATCGTATCTGCGCAGTGTGTGACTCTTAACGTTTGGGTTAATTTTATGTTTTGTTTTATGTTGTTGTTGGTTTGTTGATGTTTTGCTAAATTTAACAAAACGGTGGTTGATATTGCGTGTTGTTTTGTTAAACATTTTCAATCTAATTATGGAGATTAGAGGTGAGAAGGATCATATCAATATAAAAAAATATAACATGATGTGTCATGTCAAGCATATTATTTGAAAGAGTAAAATTCTATACTTACAATATTTTAAAATATTCATTATAAAATTTCGATTTTGGTATAGTCTCTCGTTGACATAAAGTTAAACGTTTCTGTAACCAATAAACAAAATTAGTTTCTTAAATATTTGTAATATAGTGGGTATTTGTTTACGTTTCATAAGGTTTTTATTATGATGATCGGGTTGTACATAATACTTTTAAATTTAATATTACACAATATTAATAGACTCTAATAAAAAACTAAAACTAAAAACTTAAATTATCATACAGTCCTACTCCCCGTGGTATAGTACCAAGAACCCTGGCTATAACTTGACTTTGTAAGCGATTTATCTTTCTCATTTTGTTACCTGCTCCGTTATTTCCGACATTTTTTATTTTGGTACGTTCTACGTATGCTTTACTTAAGGCGACACATCGAAAACCGTTGAAGCGGTCTATCCCCGGACTGACCCGAGTGAAACATAATTTCTATAAAAACTTCAAAACGCCATCATAAGGTCTAAAATTGCGTAGCGCCCGCGACGATTAAGACCGCTTAGAAATCGCTTAGAATCTTAAAATATTTTAAAAAACTTATTGATTTTAGTAATCAAAATAATGAGCGAGTAAATTACGAATATTGATGTTATGAATGTATTTGAGCGATTCCCACAAGCATATAGATTAATTAATTTCGTTGTAATTTCAACTATAGTGATTTTTAGAGGTGTTTTCGCAAATAATTATGATCGAGTCAAAATTTTACAATCGTCTTTTTGAACAAGCAAATTCAAGATAAAGACATGAATTTACCTATATCAAAATTCCAGTTTCGTTAGTCGTGTCATACTCCTATACTATTCGATGAAAGATGGTGCATTTTTCGCGGTGTCGCCTTAATCAGATCAGCGCAGCGGCGATAGCTAAGTGCACATTCGGTAATCGTCAACACTCATATAGACATATAAAAACGAATGAAATCAACGATAGTTCTCGTCACTAAACGTGCAGATATGTCATTACCATTTGCTTTTATAGTTTTTTTCTATTAGCGTTCACGATTGTAGAAAGTCAACTTGGCAAACTCTGTTGATAAGATCAGATCAATCTTAATATTAGTGCTACCCGCGACTTATATTGACTGTTTAATTAAAGTTAAATGGTGGACATATTTTCTATTCGAGATGAGATGGTCCTTCTTACCTATACCATAGTGTATAAACAGTTGCATTGTAAAGAAATCATCATATGAGTCTAATCGCTGCCATTTTAAAATATTATATTAATAATCTTAGATGGCTTAATAATAGAGGAAGAATATCTATATTATATTATTAATATTAAATTTGTATAAAGTATATATGCATGCATATTGTTATTTGTTTTGCATGTTTCTGCTTCTTAAATTGCATCTTACTTTGGAGCAAGGAATTTTGAAATTATTGCTGTTAAACTAGGTATGTCTGTGGTGCAATAAAAAATGGGGCGGGCTGGTTTATTATAGTAAAAAAATATTATGTAATTTAAATTATACATTGTGTTCAAGGAGAAGGGATAAAGTGATATATATTTAAATAAACATCAAGGTGTTATTTGGCTAAAAAAATATATGGTCATGTCATATTATGGTCTAATAGTTTTTAAAATTGTAGAAGCTAGATATAAAACAACATAATATATGAACAGAGAAAAAAATGAGCGTACTTGAGAATATAAATTCATATTTTACCAGTAGTTCAGTTGTATATATATATATATATATTTATTTATTTATATATATATATATATACAAGTCAACATTCATAAATATACCAAGCATTATGCTATCTCCATTAAGGGCTTGTGTTTTAATTTACGTACACATTTACGTCATGAAAATAGCTAAAGACATGAAAGGGATATAGTATGCACTATTCACACAGTATATTATCTGTGCTAAGTTTCATCGAAACCGGACAATTAGTTTCAAAGGAGATAGTAATGAAATTTGCATCGGAGTTGGGGATGATGATGAAATGCAATGTATAACACTGTCAGCCGTTTTAGCCTGAATTAACACGTGGTGTGCACAGAACGCCACAGAAAGCTACGAGACAGTTTTTGAACAATAGAATATATAATATATAAATATATATACTATTCTTTCTGCCACTTTTTTAAATAGAAATAGGCGTTACTTTGCGAAAATTCATTATATTACATTTTTTGGCAGTATACATTTTTTATTATATATTAATCATAGGTAGTTATTACAAAATTTAAATGAATTAAAACGAAGACAATCTCCATGTTAATCTATTATTAATATAAATTAATAATTAATCCGCAGTCCCCATATAAGTGCTTTGAGACGTCTCGACCCACCAATTTCTGGAGGATGTCAACACGACGTTTTTGATAACTTCAAAAAAACACACACAAATTCTAAGTCTATATTTTATAGTTAAGCCATAATCACATGTATATTCAACAACTTTAGTGAGAATTTCGTGTAGAACTTAAAAAAAATGTAGCTAGTAGCGTGACGACGTGTGTAATGGGAACAAGTTATATTTAAAAACAAATGCCATTCGAATTTGAGTTATATCCAAATTTCAAATTTCCAGCTCATCGGAAAGTTTGTTTAAAATCAATTACTAAATTCCACCCAGCACGACAGAGAGACAGACAAACAAAAAAACAAGAAAGTGACTTAATAAATACGTGGTAAAATGTTCAAACACAAATTGAAGAAGTATTAATTTCACTTAAAAATGTGAAATGGTGTTTAATGTAACAAAAAATATTAAAAATCGAATTTTAGTCAAAACAAAAAAGAAAAAAAAACTTTTTTGTGTAAAATTGCAAAAAAGTTTTGTTCGATACTTTTTTCTTATATCTCTAACAGTTTTCTAATGGTTCGGATAAATAAAGCCTAGAACCTAGATCACCCCTGACATTGCGCTCTACCAGTTCGTAAAGTTTCACCACAATAAAATTATTATTAGTCAGTACAGACAAACATACAAAAAAAAAAATTAAATGGTTATGTATGTCCTAAGCATGCAAATAACCACCCGAGCTTAATAAAAGTTAGTTATTTAGTTATTTAAATATTAAAGACATAAATTTCTATTTTATTTTTAATACGTATATACTAGCTGATACCCGCTCGCTTCGCTGGGCACACGTAATATTTTATTGTGGAACCTATTTTTTTTATAGAACTATCGTAAAATCCGTTCTTAGTGAGCGTCTACATTGCGAAATGAGTAACCATACTAAATTTCAAATCAATCGGGTGTATATAGTTTTCGAGATCTCGTGATGAATCAATCAGTCATCAATCAGTCGCAGCAATATAGATTATGATACTATTAAGTGTGATTATGGCTTTATTCTTGTTATATATTACGCAATCTGTAATATTAATCAATTGTTACCGACTGCACCATATTTTACGTTAATTTGGAACGAATTTAGAAGTTAAATATAAAATTAAATTTTAATTAAGATAAAAAATATATCTGTGATTCTGAAGGAGCAAAGTCTAGGATGCATAATTTAGGTATTGGCTTTAACACAACTCAATATCTTTATAGGTTAAATATATATACAACTCAGACAAACCAAGAAAAATAGACGGACAGCTAGGTACATTTCAAGTGATGCCAAAAGCATGCTCAACTTCAAGATACGCACTCACGCCCACATCTTTCTTCTTTCTTTCTTTAACAGCAAGTAAAAGTTTACTGCTGGCCTCGGCACTTAAAACAATGTTATTGGTTGCAAATTATATCAGATGTGTATGTGTACGTGAGCTGAGCGTGGTTTTTGCATTCATTGAATTGTACATAGCGCTCCGTCTCTGTTTCTTTGATAATATATTCATCGAATTTAGAATTTATTTTTTAATCAAAAAGGATATATTTAGTGCCATTGGCTGTTATAAATTGATTTTTTTATATTTATATTATGTAAAAACAATCAAATTGGGACCAGATTTACGTATACAATATACAGAGTTATTTTTCAACGAGTATGAAAATTTTATATTTATGTTCAAATATATAAATAATAATATACCGTTATTGCAGTATTTGAAAATACAAGTAAATAAGGCTTTTAGTTTTATTTAAAAGTATCCCAAATTGAATGTGATTTATGGGCAACAACTATGCGTACGCGCGCTCCTCTGTGTGCGATATAATTCACTTTTTTGCCGACCGATCGACCCTTACGAATGTGCGTGCGTGCGTAGTATAATAGTAGGCTTTAGATATTTATGAATGACAATCAGTTAAAATGATTAATTACCACGCATTCTGTATTTAAAAGATAAAAAGCACAGTGTTTGAATTTTTTTTAATTGTTTTTCATTTACCATTCGTATATATTACTTATTTTTAACCTTCTCTACAAATATGGGCGTATATTGCAAAATAACCTTGTATAGTTAGGATATGTTTAATTAATGGAATATTAAATCAAGGTGATATGTGATTTCACATGATAATAGAATAATTTTTTATTTTATGTTACTCATTCCCTCACTAGTAATTTATACTGTATCAAGGAAGCCTTTTGCAAACGTAAATTGCATATGGACGAACATCCAGATCAGAAAAAAATATTTTTAAGACTGCAAAAATGCTTGTTGTACTCTCTTGATATCATTCGTGAGGCGCATTATTTGCATTGCATTTCCTTGACCATCTTTTCCAACACACATGGGGCTAAACAGGTGATGGATTCGCTTACTGTAAATATCTTTTTTTCAAAAGGATTTCCATTGCCAAAGCTTTATTTATAAGCAGAGTGAGTCTTTGTTCCTGTGATATTTAGAATTCATGTGAAAATACAGTTTGTATTGCTGTTTGTATAGAATAAATTTTGTTAATAGGTAAAGTTTTGGAGAAATATACAAGTTTCTTCAAACTTCATATTCAATTAATAATACATATTTTAAATGTACAAGTTGGAAAAAAAATGCAAGTATTTTTGTTTAAATTATTAGTATAATATTTGTCGATTAATGTTGAATCATGAAATCAGTCAAGGGATATTAATTTGAGAATTCGTTTTATAATTAATTTGTTTAATTAGATATACTTTTTTTATTTCTTAAATTTTTATTGTTGATTTGTTTTAAAATTAAATTAGGATCGAAGATTTTTTTTTAATATTATAACTATTACTTACGTAAAATTGTTGCGATAAAATAATTAATACACAGAGGTGATTCTATTAGTATGTATTCCATTTTTCTAAATTGTCACAAAACACTAAAATTCCATTTTTAGGAGTCTTTTAAAGAAACAAAAATAGGTTCTCAATTTGACTGTATGTTTTTTTCTTTTTTGTATGTGTATTACATTATATCTTCGTCAATTCTGAGCTGATTGTCATATTTTGATAACATACTAGTTGTTACACTTGGCTTCTGATATTAGTTAGTCCGTTCAAAAGGGTAAAAAAATTGGACTTTTAATAAAAAAAGTAACTGAAACTTGACATCAAACAAATAAAAATAATAAAATAAATGCCAAAAATAGCTTATGCAGACGGAGTTTTAATTCTATATAATATGCTTGAGCATTGCTTCTAACTTAGCTTGTTTTCTTGGGGTGTTTCCAGTAACCTTACTCTTCCCTGGAGTCTTAATGGTAAGACTACTGAGAAATTTTCTTCCCAATAGACTACTGGGAGGAGCTTTCATGGCATGTTGCATACCTTATACCAAATAGTCTTATCAAATGGTGTTTGTTACAAGTACGAATTTTCATGCCAAGTAGGCCTTACTACTAAGGCCACTGTGGAAGAAAATTCTCAATAGTCCTTCCTACTCTGTAATGTACGTGGAAGTTGATGTTTGTTTTTTTATGAATAGTAGGAATAGTACTAGGCAAGCATAAATGTCAAAGATGCAGTGGGATAGTTCTCCAGACCGAAATTCTATCACGGCGGCCAGTCTCATGGGAGACTATTTGCGCGGGAAAGAATTATAGAAGTGGTTTTTTTTTCTTCAAATATACAAACTAGAACTATCCCACTGCCTCTAGTAAGTATGCTTGCCTAGTATTTACTCTTCCAAAAATAAATTATCAAAGTACTACTTACTACTATCTACTGAAGACAACTTCTATTACTACTGAGAATTTTCTTCTTCAGCGGTCTTACCAGTAAGGCTTACTTGGTAAGAAAGTCTTACCAGTAAGACAACTGGGAAGAAAATTCCCAGTACTCTTACCAGTAAGACTACTTGGTAAGACTGAATACCTCGTTTTTTTCCTGTATGGCATGTTTTTTTTGTAATAAATTGTTAGCATCTGTCTTTCCATTCGATTACTATGTGGGTGTTTTCACGGTTTTTGTTAAGTGAGCTTTACCCGGCTGTTTGTTTTGTTGCATTTGCTTATTTAAAAAACGTTTAGCCTAAATTGTGTTAATACTTATCCATAATATGTTAGTATTTTTGATAGACTATAATTGTACTTAATCCACGTTGTATAAATTATTTTATATTATTTGCTTGCATATTATTTCTCTAATGCTTTCAGTTGATTTTTAGAATCCCCACGGATCGGGAAACGTCAGTGGGGTTTCTAGAATGATCAATCATATGTTTAAGATTAAATACAACAATTGCATGATACATAATATAATGCATGATGTAATATGTATATTTTAAGTTGCATGTTCTGTTTTGTTGCGACTTTTCATACGGCTTTAGTTTATTTTGTACTCAATGTGTGCTTGCAATAAATAATTGTACCAAGTTTTTGACTTTTCATTTAATACTAACTTATTGTTTATTTTTACATATTAAAAAAACATGTGTGCATTTCACAAACGGTAGTGGTGAAACATTCAGAAATCTAAACTTAGAGGGAATGAGAGGAATGCATTTTATTTAATACGTGGTAGAGCCATGCTGCAGCTATATTAGTAGTATAGCTGTAGCACGAATGGGTCGACTCGACCGGGGAAGGATCACGCTCTCACAGAATACCAGCGTAAAATGGCAGCCTGACACTGCTGTGTTTCGTATGGTGAGTGTAGAGAACCGGAGACCCATTTTACTGGAAAAGAGGCATTCCATCTTAGTCCTCACGGGTGACGACGCATCTGCATTTTGATTCTTTATTGAGAATAAATGTAGATGTCTATGGATCACAGCAACCACTTACCATCAGGTTGTCTGTGTGCTCGTTTGTCACCCTATCCTATAAAATAAATGCAGAGTATCATGAGTAGGATAACTGTAGGGTTTATGTAATTAAAATATAAATAAAATTTATAATAAACACTGTATACTGCATTCTATCTCATTCTCTCGCAGGCTAAATCCTATATATTATGTATATGTTTATCTCTTTTTAATGTCGCCTTTTCTTTTCATCGAGTTTCAAATCACAACGATTCTAAAGTTTTCACTTCAAAAATGTTACCCTAGGGATAACATTCTGTATCGTGGAGGCGTTTGACATACATAAATTACACATGAACAAACATTTGCACAAACTAGTTTATTTTAACGACTAAACTACTCAAGGCAAATGATGACTTGCTCATTTCCCTTTTAATGGCTTTATTTGTTTGTTATCTGTGTGTTTTTATAGCTCATTTTTTTACATCTTTCTTTTTTTTTTTACTAATTTACTGTTGGCCTACGATAGGCCTTCAGATATTAGGCTCTTAGAGATGCGTCAACCTGCATCTACTAGAAAGATTGGTCCGAATTGGTCCTTACACACGCTGGGCTGTCTGTGGTATTTTGGTTAGGCATTTTCTCGTTAGTTATTATTTAATTCATTTATCTTGCAAACGTTGTGACAGTCGTCCAGCACCTTTGACGCTGTTATCCGTCGCCAGCCTGGGTATTTTACATCGGGTATACACGAAATGATTATATGGCCATCTATCAGAAGTTATGATCATCTCGAGTATTCTTTTTTTTTAAAAACGTTACCTCCACACTACGATATTCATAATAAGGACAAACATCCAGACCCGGAACAATTATTTGTAGGCCATACAAATACCTGTACCGTGCGGGATTCGCTCTCATGGCTCTCCTTGCTAAGCCACTGCTCCACGGAGTCATTATCGACGTAAGCTAGAGCATTGACGTAAGCTAAGTTGCCTTTTACGAGACCACTTAAAAGTATCCGCGTAAAAGTAACATCATACATACGTAAATATTGGTGATGGATGATGGTACATATATATAAATGTCAGATATTTAGTATTTTTTTGCTAACCCTACTTCGCTTTAGAAATGTTATTTTCGATCAACTTTGACAAGGTTCCATCTTGTTCTATTCGCGCGCGGATTTTACTTGTTATAAAAATGTTTGCCTTGTATTGACTTTACAGGAGACAGTACCTGGAGAACAGCTGCTTAATAATAAATTTATGACAAAGATGGAAGACTTGCTTTACGTGGAAGATGAAGAGGAAGATCTTAAATGAACCATTTGTTGTTGTTCTGGTGTAAATGTGTGTACATAGCGTAGTATAGTGTAGTTGATACTAGAAGAATATACATGTTCACATCATTTGGGACTTGGAAGCCGAGAAAGGTTATAATGGCGGTTGGTTAAAATGCGGTGTGAGTATAATGTGTGGGAAGTAACTTGAAAATCAGAAGTTCCTGAAAAATAAGACAGAGAGAGATAGATAGAAATACATTAAGTTCTGTTTGTCTTTTTCGTGTGATTTCTTCTAGCAAATATGGTGACTTTAGTTATTATTAGCTATTTTAATATTGAATACAGACAAGCTTCAACACAAAATGAGAAAATATGTCACTTGGTGTATTGGTGGTACACAAATGTGCAATATTTATAAAATATATTTTTTTATGTTTGTATATTTCAAGTAATAAGCAGCGATAAAAGGTATGTACAAAAAAAACCTGTTGTTTAATAGAATTATTTATTTTGATGTTTGGAATTGATTTTAGAAAATTTACGCAAAAAGATTCTTCATATATTTTTATTATGTCGCAGTTTATATTTTATTTAGTAATTTAAGATATTATCGTTTTCATTTTACAAGAGATTTATTTGTATAACTTTTGTTACGTTTAGAAAAAAAGTAACAAGCATTTAATTACTTATGGTTTTATATTTTAAGAGCTGATCCCGGTAATGCAATGTATAAAATAAAATTTTCATAACATTTTGTACGATATTTTGTTACGACTTTTTTGTGTTATAAAAACTCGATAAGACAGATAAAGATAAAAAATATATATGTCTTTTTTGTTGTTTTATCCTTTCTCTTATTGTTATATGTTACTTTTAGACTTCAGAAAATATAGTTTGAACTCAATAGATATAAATAACAGTAATCACGTAGTCATATTTAGTCGAAAGTTTAAACTCTAAAATTAGTTTAGTGTTTGACAGTTAACGGCTAGTTTACCTTTTTATTTAAAAAGGTCGTGAAGTTTTTAAAAATATAAAGATAAACAATTTCTGTACACTTTGTTCATAATTTTACTTTGTCCATAATTTTACTAGAGAATGCGATGGAACAACGACTGGAATTTTCTAGATTTTGTACATTTTACACTGTATTTTAGTTTCCCGCTTCTCTACATCAAATTCTTAAATACGTAATAGTTAAGAGTTTCTGTTTACATTATCTGTGCCAAAAAGAATTCAGTAGCTTTTGTATGGACCAACCATTTGAATATTACTTATAGCATAATTCCGATCAAAATATTCCGAATAATCCACATTATTTTAATGCTTAAAATTTTAACAACGAATTCGTGTTGTAATAACAGTAGTTGTTCATCGATAACTTTTGAGTTTTGTATTTGTTTTTTTGTATAAAAAGCGTTCAGCGGCGCGTGAGGCTTAGCGGCGCATACAACACGAGTGGCTGCCACCCGGGATACTACTTATGGAATGGAATAGAATAATTTTTATTCAATATTGATTATTACATAATACTTATTGAAAGTCATTTTTATTTACCACTGGTTCGGAATATCTCTGTCCTGGGAAGAACCAGCAAGAATATATTTTTATAATTTTTTATTTTTTTTTATTAATTTACGATATAGTACAAGGGTGTATGAAAGTATGATTATTTTGCACGCCTAATCCTGACGCTCCTGCTTTCACGTTCGACACTCAGTTTCTACACCTAGGTCCTGTGTACAATGCGTTGTGCCTTATCACATGGAAAATCAATCATTATTAGTTCGTTAACCGATTCGTTGCGGCACCAATTTTCGACAACTTTTAGCTGTGAAGGCGAACAAATATTTCATGGCACGCCTGGCGTGTCAAGTGCCACAGTTACAAACGGAAGGATACTTGTTTTTAGTGGGTAACTACGTGTTTTTCTACGTGTTTTCTTTGAAATTGAGAGTGACTTTTTATGCAGAGATTACAAACATTTTGTACTATTTTTTGTTTTATAAAAAAAATCATTTTTATAGGCACAGCTAAATCACCCCGGAAAGCCTTGGTTTTTATTAAATTAAATTTTCACCTAATAATAATATTTGTGAATATCAAACAATCAAGAACCTTAATTTGGAAAAAAATAAGGTTTATGATTCATTAATATGTCAAATGTTAAATATTATTTAATGTTATACAAATGTAAAAGCAAAGTCGATTTGAAAACGTCTAATTAGTAAGAATAGCAAAACAAGTGTTTTCAAAAGGAAACAAACGCCGGCGCTATACGGCGGCGGATTGACGAAAGATTATTTATTAGCGAACTTTTTTTATGCACGAACGGTTTCAAACTGTTTCAAGCAAAAATAAACCTTATACCATATCACAAGAGCACATGGTACTTCGTAGGTCTCTTACCATAGTAATAGACCATACATAGGCCATACGATAGTAATAAGACGGCAGTTCAACCATTTTAAACAATAAGACAAACGCATTGTTTTTTTAACAGGAGACTTGTTTTCCAGAAATTTATTTACAATTTGAGTTTTTAAGCGATCGCAATGAGTGCTATTATTTGTTACTTATTAGACTATTTTTCCACAACATGATTGAAAACCCATAAAGTAAAAAGAGTACCATGTACAAGTTAAAAAAACGTCAAACCCTAAACATTTCAAATTTTCAAAATATCCAGAAACGAAGCTGCAGGCATGAACTACTTGCAAAATGATGAATATTTTGTCCTGGATAATTTTTCCAAAAACGCAATTTGAGCGAGTTATAACGATTTAAAAAAAGACACGACTCGTGTGTCATACGCCACACACAAAAGTAATCGATGGCACGCCTGGCGTGTCATCTGCACTAAACATCTTTACGACATTTCACTCTTCTTTTATTTTATATTTTACGTAAATAGGTTAAATAATAGTATACTCACGCAAGCCCGGTGAAACGTTACAAGAAAACATGTCGGTTTTTTAAATACCGTACTAAATTTCTTAGGACGATAGAATTTTCACTTCAAAACTAAATTGTCAAAAAAAAAAACTGATGTTACATTATTTTTCGTAAATTGTACACATGTAAATTGTATGTGTAAATTGTATCTCTTCTATTTCATTGCGTCTATATGTTGTGCCTTGAAGTATTTTTGTATTTCGTTACTGTCGATTAGTGTAGACATTTTTTCATAGTTAATTCGTAACTGTTGTCTGGTATATTAAAAAAAAATAGTAAACCTGTAGTTTAATTAATATAATTAAGGAAAAGTGACGATGTATGAATTTTCAGCTCCGTCACAGTCTAACTACTAGTACTTCGGTCATCGAAGGCGTCTAGACTGGGCAATTGTGCGGTGCGGTGCGGGGCGAGACGCGGGCGGAACGCTACCGGGCGGCCGTTAGCCACTCGGTAACTGTCCGCTGGGGTTGTCCCGTCACGTAAATAAATTAAAATGGTTCACACTACATGTGCGGTAAAACCTGTCATATAAAGATAAGAAATTAGTTTCATCAGTTTCCACATACACATTAATTTGTTTAAACGTGAAATAAAATAAAATCTGTTATCTTTCTGACAACCCTAGCAATTTTTTGTTTATGTCGGCTTTTCCGACAACATCAAACGCGATGACCGACTGTATGTTCTTAGGCTGTGGCCCCGTGTCGTAAACTGCGAGCTATTCCATCTATTTTAAATCTTTATGTCTAGTCTAGATAAATATTAAAATTATACATTGTCAATTTTCTAAATATTTTCACAAAATATACCTATTAGGAAATAATTTCTCTTTTTAAATAAAAACAGCATCGTTGTTCATAATATACCGCTTTTATTTTGTTTTCTTTTGCCTTGGTATGAATAAGAAACTATTTTTACTTTTTTGCAGGCCTAGTCGCTAACCTCGTTGACATTAAAATGATGGTCACTTTTAAGTACATTGCGGTGAATACTATATAGTTTTTATCAAAGAGCTGAAATATTATAAACATACGACGTAATGTACTACAACGTATATCTAATTAATATGAACAAAGTTAGCGAATAGGCCTGCTGGTCGCATTTATACAATTAGAAATTTTAAATGTCTTAATGATGATTGATACCAAATGATAATAAATAATACTACCCAATAGCATCATTTATTGCGTTTAGATCAGCAGTGTGTGGATAAAGAAATAATTATAATTATAAATTTTAACAAAAAGTAAAAACCGTCTTCAAATTGCTAAAAAAGAATTTATTTATTTGCTACTCTTAGGGGTCGAATTTTTTTTCAAATGTATTGTATTTAATAAAAAAAGAATCGTCAAAATTGGTTCACAATCTGCGAAGATATCGCATCACATATATATAATAAAAAGAACATACACCCGAATTGATAAGCTCCTCCTTTTTGAAGTCGGTTAAAATGTGTTGGTATTTGCAATAATTGACGTACGAAACCAAGCATGAAATGGTTTTGAGGCAGATTTACGTTTAGCGGTCTCCCTCAAGTCAGAAGAATATGACTGACATTTTATTTTCATTTAAAAAGAATCCTGTTATTGAATAGGTGTTTCTTTTATGTATTTTGTTGTTGTATCATGCAATTTAGTCATTTATTTTAGTCACTATAAACTACAACTTACTACAAACTACTACGAACTGTTAATTTGAATATAGACTCATAGTATGTTCGTAAACAGCGAACAGACTAAGATATATTATACATAGTTTAGTTGTGAAAATCATTATATTTATACCGTACCGTCACATTTTAAAGACCTTACAGTTGTGAAACGCGTTTGATGTCAGGCGATGCCGTCGCCCGCGACCAGCGTGTATGCTAGGGGTTGTCACGAAAATGAAAATAAAATAATTTTGAATATTCAGTATAATACTCATTATCATTTATTAACATTATTTACATACTTATAAGTTAAAAACTCAATTGAACAAGATCATTTTTATTACTACAAGAAAAAAAAAAACACATTTACCAGTGTTGCACTGCTAAATATTTTCGTGACACTTTCTTTTTATGGATGTTTTCAGTTTTCGATTGTTAAATTTAATTATGTAGTATATTCGCATTCGGATAAACAATTGTATCTATGAGGGAAACATAAGCATGGCTGTCATTTTAATTCAATTTTACTTAAAAACTCATATAATTATAACAATATTTCACAATTATAGATATTTTTCAAAAACGGCACTTAAAAGAGTAGTTAAATAAGTACTATAAAACATGCTCTCGCCAACCGCATGTATTGTCTATCAGACTCAGTGAAGTGCGCTGGCACAAGGTCGGCCTGCCGCCTGCCCCGCAAGGCCTGTTGCTTTGCACAAGTACATTCGTTTCTAAACTGTAAGGAGGTCTTTAAACTGTGGTACCGTACCAGATTATTAAAATATGTTTATTAATTATTAGAATGTGGTATTGAAGTAGTTCATTTAGTAAAATGACTAGCTACTTAAAACGTTGTGACATATCTGTAAATTCACTAGTCAAGTTAGTTGAGTGGTGTGTACAGTACTTTACTATGGATATTGTTGGAATAAAAGTTTTACATTTTGAATTTTTTTCTTTAACCATCCATCCCTATTTAGTATTATTATATGAAACTAAATAAACCGCAGTTGTATAATACCTATGCTGAAAGATTAAACGAATGAGCATATATTTGCTTACACAATTGGACATACATAATTAGCGTACGTGTCACATACAACACAACTATACAGTTCATTAATTTATACAGAGACTACGAATGTCTTTGTTAGCCGACTAGCCCGCTTTACAAAAACAAAATAGCACGTGCCAATGCCTACACCAAAATACAAGAAGAATTTAGTATGACTGAAAAAGAAATTAAAAATAAAATCAAAAGTCTGCGAAGTACTTATCATCAAGAAAAGAATAAAGTGGAAAATTCAAAACGATCCGGAGCTGGATCCAGTGACATTTACAAACCCAGTTTGATTTGGTATAAGGAAATGGATTTTATAAATGAAAGTTTCGAATATAGAAACTCAATCCAAACCGCTGTTGTAGGTACCTACCTACTCTTTCTCTTTAACACGCTTTTATTAGCTTCATATGTTTGTAACAGACTTCTTTAGACTCGATTTACTAACAGAATAATATCAGCTTATATTAAAAATTATGTTTTACTTTTTACTTCGATGTGCTCTAAAAGCGTGTTTTTAGTTTTTTTATACTATATTTTTATCTATTATTATGTAAAAAAAAGTTGACACAATAGTTATATTAAGCAAAAGTACTTAGACAATTACATTTATTCATTTAAAATATTAATCATACGATCTTGCCAAGGCACTGCTTCTGTTGTAATGAAAATATCTGCATATTTATTTCTAATAAGTATCGCTTCTCTAAACGATCGATTATTTCGTGTTCCTGATAAATTCCGTAAAGATCTTTGTAACTGATCACACCAGAAGCCGTTAATAATAGTACTGAGTTGAATATCTTCATAATCCACACACCTTTGTGTGATATAAGTATTAGTGCTTTTCCGCAACCAATTGTGTAAAGAACATGCCGCTAATACTATGACGTCAACTTTTTCTGGTTTTAGAGCTATAAATGATTCAAAAATTCGGAATCTTGATACAAGGATACCGAACGCATTTTCGACAGTTCGCCTGGCCCTTGACAACCGATAATTAAAAACTTTTTCTCTTCGGGTGGCCCTGGTAGGAAACGGTTTCATGAGATATTTTTTTAAGGGAAAAGCTGCATCTCCAACTATAACAGAATGTTCAGGAATATCTAAATAATTATTTTCTAGTGCTTGTTTCAAGACTGATCTTTCAAACACTCCTCCATCTGAAGCTCTGCCGTTGCATCCTATATCAATATAAGAAAAACAGTAATCGTCATCCACCAATGCTAGTAGTACTATGCTATGGCTTCCTTTATAATTAAAATAATTTGATGTTTCGTCAGGAGCAATAATATTTATGTGTTTGCCATCGATAGCTCCAATACAGCCTGGAAAGTTCCATTTGGTTCGAAAGCCATTTTCTTCCTCCATTCTTCCTTCCATTCCTGCCTCGTAGGAATCTGAAAACAAAATGTCTGTTAACACATATAAAGTAACGAATATTACCTGCAACACTTAATAAAAAAAATACAGGTACAACAGTCCTCTCAACCGAACACTGAAACAGAAACACCACGCTCTCAAAGAGGTACTTCATCAGACCAGCAATCCTCCTCTCAAACAGTTAACCCACCAAACAACGAAACATTCTCTGTCGCAGTCGACCAATCACACTCATCCAATCAAGCAAGCATTACAAACGAGCAAGTACCGTCACCCTCTCTCCAGGACCAGCAATCCTCCTCTCGCACTGCAGCAGTCAACCGACCACACAAAACTAGTCAGACTAAGAAAAAACGTGTAGAGCAAAACGAAACCTTAACTGCACTTCAACGTCTGAAAAATATTGCTACTGCAATCAATAATCATGGATCAAATGAAAAAGAAAAAGATGAGTTTTATTATTTCGGACAAAGTTTTGCTGCTCAGTTAAGATTATTGCCATTAAATAACGCTCTGGATATGCAATCCAAAATTCAAGTTTTGCTAAGTACAGAAAGGTCTCGATTGTCCACTTCATATTCTCAGCCTTCCACTCCGTATTCTAACACATCTATATATTCTGAAGAAACAGCAGCATCTTCTGCCGATGATCGATTCATACACATAATACCATACACGCAGTCAAACACTACAGAAGATAACACTATCACTTTTGGTCAAGAATCAGGACAGAATATTTTTAACCAAGTTTGGAATAATGGCTAATTTTTATGCTGAAATAAATAAAAAAAACATGAAAGATATTCAACATTGTTTTACTCACTTTAATAAAATCCCTTAGTGCAGTAGCTATTTCACTACAAACAATTGGAATGAACTGTGAAATCGTCGATTTTCCTACTCTGTACAATGCTTCTAAAGATACAAATGAATCACTTGTAGCTAAAAATCTTAATGGTATTTCCAATTTGGTTTTTTGCTGGAATGGCATTTCGCATGTGAGTATCATTTTTTGTTATTTTGTCTCTAATTTTTCCTAACAATTCATCAAATTTTTCTGGGAGCATTCTCAAATTTTTGTAACCATCAGGATCTTCTTGACGCATTTCTTTAAGCAGACAACTACTTGCTCCAAAATCATCCCTTCTACTAATCCAATCTCTTACCCAAGCCCGTCTTCTTCTTTTTCTCTTTTTATCTCTCATTAATTTAGCTACACATTCAATTGCTAGTAACAACACGATTTTGTTTAATTCACTTCGATTGTTGTCCATTTTTGGCACGCAAGAATAGGTACCGAGTGACACTCACGAACTGTCCTGTGTATACGCAATGGTAATACTGGCATGCAAGGGCACAACTTGCATGCCAGTATTACATGCAAATGTATCTGCAGTGTGCCAGTTACTCGTACATGCCAGTAACTTTCATGCCAGCTACTTTCCCGATTTACTGGCATGTGTATCCCCATCCTTACTTGATGACAATATTTCAAACATTAAATATGTGACAATAGTGCTTACATAATATTTTGGTTAACACCGGGGTGCTTGTGTCGATGTGACAAGGGAAAAATATATTGATACGATATTTTTAAATAGTATACCTATAGATATATATCGCGTGATAAATATCGATATATACCGGCATCACTTGCATGATATAAGGTTATGGCCCTAAAACATTACTGACGGTTGGACGATGAAGAAAAAAAAAAACAAAACGACAACCACACATGAATGCATTTGTAGCACCTTTTGTTGATTCATGTTTTGACCATTCATACAACATTTTAAAATATATCGACATTGATACAAATACGATACTATAAAATAAATATCGATAAATCGCGATTAAAAATATGGATATTACGCGATTAAAAATATCGATATTTTTGTCCAAGCCTTCATCTTATTGCGTAAAGTAGTTTAAGTTTACGCAACAGTTTTATTAAATTATCTTAGTGTTATATTTTATGGAATTTTATTATGGGGCTCTGCGAGCTCATTCTAAACTATATTTACATTGTGCAATACAAGTAGACCATAATAGCCATTTTTAATAATATACTCCACAGTAGTCACAGCGAGAACTATTTAAAGAATTAAATGACACATTCGTCTTTGTATGTTTATGAAAACATGACATATTCCAGCATGACTACATGGTAGAGTCACGCTGCAGTTATATTACTGGTATAGTTGAAGCACGAATGGGTCGGCTCTACTGGGGAAGGACCACGCTCCCACAGAATACCAGCGTAAAATAGCAGTTGCTGTGTTTTTGTTATGCTGAGTGTAGAGAACCGGAGACCCTTTTTACTGGTAACGAGGCATGCCATCTTAGTCCTCATGGATGTAAACGTCTATGGGCCACAGCAACCACTTACCCTCAGGTGGACTGTGTGCTCGTTTGTCACCCATATCCTGTAAAAAAATGACTACCAGCATCAATAAATTGACCATTCTTTAAGATAGGATAGGTTAGGGAAAACTAAAAAATCGTTCTTAATCAATTCTTAAAGAATATAATATGAAATTCCCAAAATATTGCTGATCTAGGTACCAGAACTGAAAAGAAACCGTTCAACATACCTTGACTAGTAAGGTACGACTGAAATCTATTTTTAAGAACAAAGATGTACTTATGGAAATAAAATTTCTCACTACTGGTCTGGGTGAAAAATACGCCGCAAAAACAGCAACCGTTAGTGATACTTGTGCTAAAGAAATATATGCCTTGATAGGATTGCTGTTGTTAGCCGCAAGGAAGAAAGATAACAATCTGACCAGAGATGTTCGATCCAGCTGAAAGTGGGACGAAATATATTTCAGCTTTCAGCATTGCTACACAATTTTATTTTGAGATGTTGCGTTTTAAATAAAAGTACATAAATAACGGGTTTTAGATGATCAAAATACACAAAACAATGCCTCAATGGTTTTATCACTCTCTTTTTAATTTTTCTACTTTTAAGAATATCTGTAGTTTTAGTTTTTCACTCCTAATCTAAATTAATTTAAAATATAGACAATTAATATTTAAGAAAGTAAGATTAATTCTTACATTTTTTTAACACTTTCCTCACATAATTACGTATTATGGAAATAGTTCACTCCATTCCTAAGTGACGCCGCCCTGGTGGCAGAAAAAGTCGTGGGTGCCATTGCAGTTGTTGGATACTGTGATTAGGTTTGCTACCTTTTTTAAATATATGCAACATGTAACAAAAACCCTGTGGTTCCCGTTAAGTATGTTATCAGGATCATTTAAACGTATAGAAATAAGTTTTTTTGAAAACTCGAACAATATTATTTTTATTTTATTTAAGAAAATAATTGTATGCAAATTGTATGTTTGTTTTATAGGATAGGGTGACAAACGAGCACACAGTCCACCTGATGGTAAGTGGTTGCTATGGCCCATAGACATCTATATTTATCCTCGTTTGCGAATCAAAATGCAGATGCGTTGTCACCCGTGAGGACTAAGATGGAATGCCTC